TTTTTTTTTTTTGCATGGCAGCTTTTTTTTTTTTTTTTTTTTTTTTCTTTTTTTATTTGACAGACAGAGATCACAAGTAGGCAGAAAGGCAGAAGCAGGCTCCCCGTTGAGCAGAGAGCCCGACGCGGGACCCGATCCCAGGAGCCTGGGATCACGACCCGAGCCGAAGGCAGAGGCCCCAACCCACCGAGCCACCCAGGCGCCCCTGCATGGCAGTTTTTGAGAGGAGCCTGACATTGCCTCTGCAAAGTTACAGAAGCAAATGCTTGTCAGGTTTGCCACGGCAGCCCAAGTACCAAACCTCACCTGGCTCAGCCGAGGCACGTTTCTGGGCTTCGTGGGAGCTCTTCCTCTTTGTGTCTTACACCTGGCAGCTAGCCCTGTCGGTTTCTCAAATTAAAGAACAGCGTTTGCCAAAGCCTTAGCACTTCACACTTCAACTTCTGTCTCATTACTGTGTCGTGGCTGCAGCTTCAAAGTCCCAGTGTCTGTTTCCCCCTGGCTCTTCTTTTTATTTATTTTTTTATTTTTTTATTTTTTTGATGGTATTGGGACCGGGCTGTTGCCATGGGTACGTGCAGGTTCCTAGTCAGCAAATGAGAGGAATTTATATAGAGAGAGGAACTGTGATTTCTTCCCTGCACTGCCCCTTCTGGATTTCCCTGCCCCCTCAACTCTTACCATTTAGACAACCCTAATTTTGACTCCTGTCTTTGCAGCCCAATATGACTGTCACTTTCTGTTTGAATGAGTTCTTCCAGGGTGCAATTTGGAAAATGTCCCTAGGGATGGAATGGAGCTTCCTGACTTCAGCCCAAGCTTCCTGCCTTGTAACTCGTTGACTCTTGATAATTGGTTGACCCTACCTCCATGTGTCTAAACAGTAGTTTATGTCTTCCCAGCTCTTACCGTTATTTCAGGCTGGCAGCTTAGTCTAGTAGAAACCAATAGTTCTTGATTAGAATCGAACATTCAAGGTGTCATGTTTCATTTTCCTTATGTCTGAGCATTAAAATTTGAGAAGGGAGGTGGAGGACCTATACTGCTGATAATTAAGATAAACACTTAGTCTCTGCCACATGGTTTATGGAGAGTAATTTCTATACAGTTTTTAAAATGAAAGCCAAACATGAATAGAAGTAGTCAGTTGTTCTGGAAGGAGGATCAGGCTTAATCTAAAAGACCATGGGAATATAAAGTTGTTGCACGTCATATATTCCTTAATTTAAAGAATATTCAACTGGCTTCTTATATTTATTCAGAAATATAGAAATTTCTGTGTATTTTTACTTTGAAAGAGTGAAAACTGGCTTTGGAAATGATTTAAGTATTAGTTTAATATAGCTTTCACAGATTTTTGGATTCTTTTCTAGTGGATTAATGACCTAGAAAATGATGATTTGTATGTCACATGGCCTGCAAGTTGCCAGGAGCTTCTGAAGCCCTTGTTCCCTGGAACTATACCTTCTGTAAGGCGTAATTTTCATAATTTGGTGAGTTTTATATGACATTTTGTGTACATCTTTTATGAAGGTATCAGCATTCTTTTTGGATTACCCTGTTCTTGGTGAAGAGGCATCTGTGTAACACGGAAGAAGATACTTGCCTGATACGGCAAGTGTGCGATGGCATGGCCGACCAGACATCCAAAGCCAGCAATGCCACAAAATCTGCCTCCTCCTTAGATGTGTTTTGTAGTTCCGATATGAAATTGATGAGTTATGGTCACATTTTCTGAAAGGAATTTGATTGAACTTTTTTCCTTCTAGAACTAATAAGAACTAATTAAAGATTAAAGTTTATTAACATTTCAGGGAAAATGTGTGAATATCACTTTATCATCTACACATATGAGTTCATTGTTAACAATATTAAATAACCTGTGATACAACTGTGAAATGTGCGGAATTTCTTAGCTAGGGCTTTTTTTTTCCCCCACAAAGAAAATGAATATGTTATTTCCTATAGCAGTGTAGAGCGAGCAGTTATATTAATGCTATTTTTTTCAAAATTCAGTTACTATCTTTTTTAAAAAATTACAGAAAATCCAATGCACATTTAGGATAAGGTATTTCACTTGTTATTAAAAAAATTTACTTTGTGCTGTGCTTCAAAAAAAAGGGTGAGTGATCTCATATTAAATTCCATGTATTATTCAGATGTGCGGCTTTTAGAAATCCTTTATTACCTATGAAATTCCTTCTTATATACAATTCCTTAGAATTGCTGGACATTTCTTTAGAAAAAGATGGCACCTTGAATTTCTTACTTTTTAGTGACAGAAACTAGACTAAAGTTGAATTTCATGAAAATTCCAAAATATTTAAGCAAAATAGTGATTATAAACTGTATGCTTTCTTTTAGGTTCTGTTTATTGATCCTGCTCAAGGATATACCTTGGATTTTGTAAAACTTGCTGAACTTTTCTATTACCATAAAATTCCTCTTCGGTAATTGTCAATTTATAACATTACACGGTCAACTGAAGGAAAGGCAGTGATGTTCATGTTGTACCGCAGAGTACTCACGTGGAATTGAAAGCAGTGGTGGTCTTTAACGCCTGACACAACACAGCCGTGTTGTGAACATCACTGACCTTTATGATAGACTTGTTAGTCAGAACTGCTCAGTCATCTCATTAACCACGTTCATTCCCGAGAGAATGGTCTGACCACTTTGGGTGCTGAAAGGTGGATCCATTTCCCTGAGGTTGTGTTAAGAGTATACTTTCCCTTTATTTTTCTGGAAAAACATGATCATTTACTATTATCACCACCAGAGAGAGTTTGACAGTTTGGAGGAATCCATTAGACAGGCGAATGTTGGTGACTAGACATTACGAATCAAACCTTTTCAATATAATACTTCCTCATCCCCCCTATTAACACACTCTATCTAGATGTTGTAGTCTAGTAATGTTGAAAAATCATGGTTGGTTGTGATTCAAGGGGTAATTGTGACATTCCTTATTCACCTTCTTTTCCCAGAATTGGTTTTGTGTTCATTGTTAACACAGATGATGAAGTTGATGGAGCCGATGATGTCGGCGTTGCTCTTTGGCGAGCTTTCAACTATATTGCAGAAGAACATGATGTCTCACAAGCATTTATTTCCATAGTACAAGTGAGTGCACTAGGTATCATTTCTTTAGACTGTAGAGTGGGTTTTTCTGCATTACTGTAATATCATTTATTATTTATTTTTCAAAGTTTGTAAAAAAATGATCATGGGGCTTAATATAGACAATGAATTTGATTCTTGCAGCTCCCAACTGAAAAACGTAATGACCCCACTTCAGAAATTAGCTGACACGCTGCCAAAATAGATGAATTTGCTTGAGTTTCTCCAGCTGCTAATGGAATTTAAATTGTATATGTAAGTTTAAAGGAAAACATACTCCAAGAAAATGATTAGTCAGGGAAGAATTCCTGAATGAGGTCTTGAAAAAATCATGAATAAAACAGATTACTGCAAACTTAAATATTCTAAATGACAAAGTATGTAGACCCTTCTTAGAGAATTTCAAAGGAGAAGGAGATCACTTCATGACAGCAAATTAGGTAGAAATAGCTGGATGAGTACTGAATTTGACAAAGAGATTGTATAAAAAAAAGTTAGAAATTGGCAAGAACTTATAAAGAGCAATACAAAATGGGAAGATTATTTCATAGTTAAGGTTTTGAAACTGTTATGGCCCATTGTGGAAATAGATGTATTAAAGAACCCGTATTGTTATTATTAAGAAAGTCAGACCATAGCTTAGAAACTAGCTTTTGTTCATTTTAAAATTCATTGGTCTTTCGCTTTCACCCACTATTATAACAAGGAATGGTTCTTCTTCAAAGTGAGGACGTGCAATGACCAAAGCCCTGTGTACTCCCTGCCCTGCTCCCACAGTTCCTGGGAAAGCCACTGAATACCTTGTGAACTCACTGTCCTGGGCACAGAAACTGCCAGTGCCTCAGTGACATGGGGATACGCTCTGTTCTGTAAAATAGTGCTGGAGGTTACATGTCAATTTTGTATCTCAGGCTATTACTTTTATTAACTGATTGGTGTAAGAATTTATAAGGGACTTAGACTGATGTAGCTTTTATTGAAGTCTAGCTACCTTATGGTGAACGGATTGATGCAGTAGTCAAAACTAAGAAAGTTGATGACCTTTTGAAATTCTCCTTACCCTAAGTTATCTCAGTTCTCTCCACTGACTCTCCATTCTGGAAGCGCTTTGCATCAGACATAAATTTGCATGTGACTTCATACTTTGCAATCACTGGCCTTTTGAATTATCTGCTGTGATGTTCAGCATGATACTGTAATATCTTGGAAAATCAGATTACACTTGAAACCATAGATTTCAATACAACGCGCCATGCAAGTGTTCTTTCTGTGCCGTAGCCTACCAGTTGTACTAAGCAATTTGAGGAAAGAGTGGGGAAAATGCATGAGGAAGGAATACATATAGCATACTAGAATCCACCACAGTCTGAAGTGTGCGAATGTTGGTGGTGATTCAAACTATGTATATGTCCACCCGAAAATTTTTGTACCCCCTAGAAAACCAAAACATGATTGAGCTAACCTTCTATTGGGAATGTGTTGTATTGTATCTTTCAGATGACTTAGCCTCACTAATTTAGAATAATTAGAGCAAAATCAGCCTTTTAGTAAAATATGTGAATTATAAAATCTCTTTAATATTGTTTCATTACTTTTAATGAGCAAATTATTTTATCTAAATTAGATAACTTGAAAATAAAGTATCAGGAAAAAGAGGAATATAGTAGAAGGTCAAAATTATAAGTATATGAACGTTTTTGACATGTGATAAAGAATTATGGTAGAGTCGGTATAGTATTTTTAGAGTAAAGCAATCAGACTGTGTATCTCAGCTCTCCACAGTGGATATGAAAACTTACTAATTTAATTTTCTCTTCCTACCTTGCAAGATTAAGATTAAAAATAATATATGTTACGTACTTGATGAATATTTGTTGAATGCGTGTTTGAGAACGCAGAAATACTTTAAGCCTTCAACTTTGGCTATGTTGAGTTAATTGTCAACAGATTAACCTTCTCACAGTATGTAAGTATAAAACGATGAGATACATGACATAAGTCAGTTTTCAGAAGTTGAACAAGAGCTAACATGAACTATGATCCTTGCAAAAAGATCAAAATAAAAATATTCACAGGTAGAGATGGAAAGAATTCTTGCTGCGTCAAAAGAAATGCTAAAGGAAATCCTTCAGGCTGAGAGGAAGTGACACCAGATGGTAACTCACATTCACAGGAAGAAATGAAATGGTAGCTTTAAATAAAATGTAAATATATAGGTACATACAAAAGGCTATAAGAATATATTTTATTGTGTTTAAATTGCACAAGATTAAATAAAACATTTTAACATATAGATATAATACATATCACCGTAATTGTACGAAGGAACAGAGGATTAGATGGATCTGTTTTGGAGCTAAAAATTCAGTATTTTGTCAACATTAAGTTAGGAGTAGGAGGGAGTGGATTGTAGTAAATTGGCACAGCTGGATATCCAAATGCAAAATGATGGCACTGGATCCCTGTCTTATACCGTGCACAGAGCTCAACTCAAAACAGATAAAAGGTTGAGCATAGGACCTGAAACTGTTCCCTGAAAGGAAACACGGGTAAGCTCCTTGACATTGATCTTGGTGATGATTTTTTGTATTTAACAACAAAAAGGCAACAAAAGAACTAAACAGGGTTTATATAAAAATAAAATGCATCTGCACAGCAAAGGAAACTATCAGAAGGGCAACAAAATGGCAGCGTTGCATCAAAATGCAACAAAATGGCAACTGTGGAACAGGAGAAAATATTTGCAAACTACCTATTCAGTAAGGAGTTAATGTCCAAAATAATCAGGAATTCATATAACTCAATAGCAAAATAATAATAAATAATAACCCAATTAAAAAATGGACAATAGGGGTGCCTGGGTGGCTCAGTGGGTTAAGCCTCTGCCTTCAGCTCAGGTCATGATCTCAAGGTCCTGGGATCAAGCCCCGCATCGGGCTCTCTGCTCAGCAGGAAGCCTGCTTCCCCCTCCCCCTCTGCCTGCATCTCTGCCTACTTGCATCTCTCTCTCTGTCAAATAAATAAAATAAAAAATCTTCTAAAAATTATTTTTAAAAACAGACAATAGATCTGAATGGATATTTTTCCAAAGAAGACATACAGATGACCAGCAGATATGTGAAAAGGTGCTCAACTTGATTGATCACCAGGGAAATGCAAATCAAAACCCACCATGAGCTGTCGGCTCACACCTGTAGGGGGTTCTATTACCAGACAAACAAGATGCCAAATGCTGGCATGATGTAGAGAGGAGGGAGCCCTCTGAGAATATAACTGGTGCAGCCATTATGGAAAACAGTCTGGAGCTTCCTCAAGAATTTTAAAATAGGATGACAGTATGAACCAGCAATCCCACTTCAGCTGTTTCCAAAAGAAATGAAATCAGTATCTCGAACAGTTACCTGTACGCTCATGTTTATTGCAGCATTAGTCACAACAGCCAAGGTGTATGGAAATGACTTAAGCACCCATCAGTGGGTGGATGAACAAAGAAAATATGTGGTATATATGTATACATACCTCAGAATATCATTCAGACTTTAAAAAGAAGGAAATCCTGCCATTTGTGACAACGTGGATGAACCTGGAAATGTTAGGCCAAGTGAAATGTATCAGACAAAGAAAGATGAATACTATCTAATACCACGTGTATGTGGAACCTAAAAAAGCTGAACTCCTAGAAACAGTAGAAAAGCGGTCGGTCGGGGGTTGGGCAAAATGGGGAAATGTTGGTCAGAGGTACACACTTGCAGTTATAGTAGGACTAAGTTCTGGACATGCTATGTCCAGCATGGTGACTGTGGTGGATAATGCTGTACTATATAACTGAAATTTGCTAAGAGTAGAATCTGAAGGTTCTCACCAAAAAAGAAAGAAAAATGCATGAGGTGTTGGATATATTAGTTAATTTGATGGTGGGAGTCCCATCATGCTGTGTGTGTTTATCAAGCCATCGTGTTGTACATTATAAATGTGTTACTGTGTTATTGTCAGTTACACCTTAATGAAGCTAAAAAAGGGAAAAATAAAATGTATATGAAGACCCCAAATTACTGTTTTTGCTTATCAAGCTATAAGTCTTAAAAATTTTTAAATGTATAAGAAGATTGAATCATTATATAAGTAGTTCATGCTAGACATTCTAGCTGCCTTAGCTTAAGAATATCCACTATTTTAAAATGACTAATTTGTACGATGACTAATCTCACTAACTTTTCATATATAATTTTTGCTTTATTCAAAATCTCATTGTTTCTAAACCCTATTTATGTTTTACAGAAGGCTAACATTTTTTGCTTTTTGTTTTCTCAGTTGCTAAGATCATAGCATGCTCTGCTTGATATGAGGAGGAAACTGGCCTATAAATTGAAAAGCTTGTAAAACTAAACTGTGGGATCTAATGATAGACCTGAGCCTTTTCTTCAAGGAATAGGTCATCCGGTGTACAGTGAGAAGAGGAAAAGGAAGAATGCTGGTTCCTTATCATGAGGAATAACATGGGGCTTTGTCCGCCCTCATATGAGGATTGTCTCTGGCAATAATGATTTAAGCGAATCGGGACTCAACATTCTTCTTTTTAGGATTTTATTTCTTCGCATCTGAGAAAGAGTGTGTGTGTGCCCAAACGTGTGCGAGCAGAGGGAGAGGGAGAAGCAGGCTCCCCACTGAGCAGGGAGTCCCTCCTGGGGCTCAATCCCAGGACCCTGGGATCATGACCTGAGCCAGAGGCAGATGTTTGATGACTGAGCCACCCAGGAGCCCTTCAAAATAACATTCTTAACTGAAGCAGGTTTCCCCCGCTTCTGAGCAGAGCGTTCCTTTGAACCTTCTGTAATAAAGCCCAAATGATGTGAAAGAAAGAAGCAGTCATCATCAGTCGATACGGAAAAATTTTTGAACATTTTCCAGAACGAAAAACTAACCTCCTTTAGGCTTTTCTGACTCTTAGGGCACATGTTGCTAATGATTGAGAGAAGCACAGATGTTCCCAGACACAGGTGAAGCGCTGGATCCCGAGCTGTAGTTCGTGGGGACGGAGCCTGCGGGGCTGCTCTCACTGCTTGCTGCAAAACAAACACGGAAGCCTGTTTCCACTTCCTACCATTTTTCATAAAAATGAAAATCCTCTTTGGATTTCTTTTGGTTAGTGAAAACAGATACCGATGTCACTCTCGTAGAAGAAAAGTGGCCTAACATGAACTTTTGAGAGGCGAGACATACATTGTATCAGAAAGCTACTTGATGGTATTTGTAAGTACGAGTTTCTTCTGGTCGGGAAGTTTTTCCCCAGGATGGCTTCATTCTAGCTCGGTGTTCGTGGTTATGTCTCAGCTGAGGCATCTACCCAGAGGTGCCTTCTCTCTCCATGCAGAGCCATCCCTCCCCCCATGCCTAGCAGGGTGCGGGGGGCTTAGGAGAGGGTCTGTGATGAGGGAGAAATGAAACAGGAAAATAGAGGAGCTACAGCTTACATCATGTGCCGTGCTTCCAGCATCTCAGACGGGGGGAAGAATGGAGGGACAGAAGGAACCTAGTCAAGGTCTTTACTGGAGAGCAGTCAGGAATGAAAATAAAACCTTTCTGAAATAAGCCATTGAAAATATTTTATATGGGGGGTACCTGGGGGGCTCAGTTGGTTGGGTATCTGCCTTCAGCTCAAGTCGTGGTCCTGGTGTCCTGAGATTGGACCCTGCATCCTGCTCCCTGCTCAGCGGGGAGCCTGCTTCTCCCTCTCCCTCTGCTTGTGCTCTCTCTCAAATAAGTAAAGTCTTTAAAAAAATACATTTTATATATACCTTTTTAAATAAAAGGAGCTGGCACACCTGGGTGGCTCAGATGGTTAAGATCTGCCTTCGGCTCAGGTCGTGATCCCAGAGCCCTGGGATCGAGCCCCACATAGGAGACTTTGCTCAGCGGGGAGCCTGCTTTTCCCCTCTCCCCCCTGTTTGTACTCTTTCAAGAGGTATAAATAAAATTCTCTCAAGAGAACAAATAAAATCTCTTTTTTAAAAAAAGGAAAAAGAAAAGGGAGCCATTATTTTACTAAGAAGCACAGTGTCTAGTTTGATCAAAATGGAACATAACATAAATTTGTTACAGTATTTTTTGAAAACCACAAGATATTCACAAAACCATTTTTATTGGGAGATATATTGTGTGTTTAAAATGATTTATTTCTCTGTGTGGGTGGAGGGCGTGTGTATACATGCACATATGTGGTAAACTTAGAACTTATAAAGTATAAAGTATGTTTTTACTTTATATAAATCTGCACGCTCCGCGAAAGAAAGAAAACTGATCGCCATAAGATGAAAATTAATTGTAGGATCTTTATTTCTACAGATGTACCAAAGAGTGAAGAATGACAATATACTCACCGTGGACCATGTGAAGAGTGTCCTCCTAAAGCTATTTCCAGATGCTAATATTTGGGATATTTTGGGCATTCACTCTAAATACGATAACGGCAGAAAGGTAAATTGAAATGCGAATTCTCGAAAACAGGATCCAAGAAACTTTTACTATAATCTCATGAGTAAATGATCTCAATATAGTTAACTCATGATTTGGATTTTAGACCCTCAGAAAGAAGGGAAGTTTAAGACCCCCGAATGATGCACATTGTGTATGAGTGCTCAGATCGCCATTATTGACCTTTCAGAAAGCACGAGAAAATATAATTGTCAGGATTTACAGGATAGGAGACTTAAATGTAGATTGATTTATTTATATTTTTAAAATTTGAGACAGCACAAGCAGGGAGGAGGGTCAGAGGGAGAGGGAGAAGCCGACTCCCCACTGAGCAAGGAGACCGATGGGGAGCTTGATCCCAGGACCCTGGGATCATGACCTGAGCTGAAGGCAGAGGCTTAACTGACTGAGCCCCCTGGGCACTCTGAATGCAGAATTTTAAAGAATGTAATTTGTACTTTCTTAGGAAAAATGGAAACCTGGCTTTTTAGAGAAATGCTAGGACAAGAAGCAAACTTGGGAAGATGGAGCATCACTGGGGTCGGATTTCTCACGCCCATACAGATCAAGGTTTTTAGATGGGTTCTTGCATTTTATAAGGGTTTTTAGGCCGCAGGTCGGTCTCCATGCTAACAGTTGAAGGTTAGGATCCCTGACGTTGTAATGTCCCACCTGACTTGGCCCGTTCAACTCCTAAGCCTCACTTTCTCAACTCTTCCCTTGCTCTTCCATTCTCCCTGGGCCGGCAGATTAGTTCAGGTTCCTGAATGGGCTCCTCCTTCTCTCCAGAGGGCCTTCACGTGCTTGTTCCCACCCTGGGTTCCGGCACCCTGCCTCCCTTCTCTTCTAGCCTCTGTACTCTTGGCTTTAATGTTACTTTGGGGGGGAAGTAACACTTTGGGAAGAACTTCTGGGAAGTCTTTTCTAACCCTCCACCTGAGATTAAGCTGCTCATGCCAATGCCACATGTAAAAACCCTGCTGTGTACTCCTGCATACAATGCTGGTTACAGTGGCCTGTTCTTCCCTGCCTTCCCCTGGACCACATCCTCCCTGGGAGCAGGGCCCCTGTCTCCTGCTGGGTCTTGGGGGGCGCAGTGCTCAGTAAACATCTACTGAATGAAATGACTGTGGAGCCAAGGCCATCTGAGAATGAGGGTTGTGCGGTCAGATGGAACTTCACGGGAGCATTGAGGTTTTAGAAATTGCTGCTCTGGGGGCTAGGAAAGGTGGTATAGTGAAGCCATGTATAAAAATGGCTATGATACCGAGTTTCTGCTGGAGTTGCCTACCATAAATTTACAGGAGCATCAATTTCTTTGTTTTTAAAAGTCCAAAATACCAGGCACATGAATGAAAGAAGGTAGCTGGATAAAGTGCTGTGAGGTTGAAGTGTTACGAGCTGCACGTGGCATTGTCATAAGAGGCCCAAAGAGTAGCCCCGGAGAAGACCTCTGGGGAGCGAGCTGGCTGCTTAGACAGCAGGAAGCAGGAAGCCAGAGGTCTGGTGGTCTCTGGGCAATCGAAAGGCCAGTGTGGTAGTAATAAGGATTGTTTTTAGTTATGGAAGAATGGTTTTCCAAATGATAATTTCTGAATTGAGAACGAGTTTCATTGATATTTTTCATTACTATATTTTCATATAATTAAAAACAAAACTAAAAAGCAACCAAGATGAACTTTCTTTTAGGGCCAAAGTTGCATGGAGGCATCTCTTTTAATAAAATTACCATGGGACTAAGGAGATTAGGAAGAAAATTATTTTTAATAAGTACTCTTCGGGGCTTCTTTGGGGGAGAAGGAACACAAATATCCTGTAGTGATTATGTAAACTCATGGAATAGAAAATTGGGGAGTTTTTATGTATTAAGGATCCTGTTTGCACAGGTTGAAAGCAAAAGGTTGCACCATTTGGATTTTAATATCAGCTGATGGTGAGTGGTAATGATAGGAGTCCTGGACACAATCCCATACTTAGACCTTACATGCTCTGTTTTTCTTTTTCTTTCTTCTTTCAGTGGTAGAGCACAGTTTCTGTTCAGACCTTAACTTTTTTAGGGACTGACACTTGTGCAAGAATCGTATCTATTAAGCATGACTGAGATGCATGATGGTGATACCAAGAATCAGTTCTCATTCGAGAATAATTTTTTTCTGGTGGATTTGCCCTTTTTTTATATGAATCTGAAACTTCTTAACTGAGTTTTTTTTTTACTAAGTTATGTATGCTTTGTTTCTTAAGAACCCTTTTCTGGTTCAAGTTTATTATAGTGTTTAATGCCTTTTATAACACCTATGTACCTGAAGCTATGAAGTGCATTAAAATGAAATACCTTCCTAAGAATAGCTGGTCAGAAATATTCAAGCTGTTTATTTAATTGCAATATATTGATTAAAAAGTTTAAAATACTCATAATCTTAACTTGCATGTGGAAAGAGATGAATTCATTTATTCATGTCTATTGAAGGTAAAAATAACAATAACATCTGCTGTAATACAAATGAATTTGAGATCTTATACAGCCAAAACATACTACTTATTATCAATTGCCATAAAAATGTCATCCGAATAACCATGTTATCCTTAAATATTGGAACTCATAACTCAATTTTATCATTTCCCATTAATTGCCTTTCTTATACATAACCATATGTGGATACAAATGTCATTTCCAACTGGATTATAACTACTTCAAGAAAAGGAATTTTATTCTTTTGTATTCCTCCAGTTTTGTATTTGCACATCTGAAGTTGTAGATTTTTTGCTGAGTTCCTGATACAGTAACTGGGATTTGAGCTCTCTTCTACCTCCCTATGTTCACTTGGTCTCTCCAAGTCCAGGGGCATTACTTAAAATATTTAAAAACTGGGGCGCCTGAGTGGCTCAGTGGGTTAAAGCCTCTGCCTTCGGCTCAGGTCATGATCCCAGGGTCCTGGGATCAAGTGCCACATCGGGCTCTCTGCTCAGCGGGGAGCCTGCCTCCTCCTCTCTCTCTCTGCCTGCCTCTGTGTCTACTTGTGATCTCTGACTGTCAAATAAATAAATAAAATTTTAAAAAAAAATTTAAAAACCATTGTGGCTTCAAGAGCAGCCAGAAAGTGAATCAGAAGCAGATCCCAGAGCTGGAATGGGGTCTTTAGGCCCTCGTGCTGACGGTCACCCTGTAGTGTCTGAATGGTCTGAGAAAGAGGTCAAGGTGCTTCTCCTGGGTGATCACCATCCCAGGACTGCAGCTGTTTTCCAGCTGCTACAGATGTGTTTCATTACACAAGAAGTGGTAAAGCCTGTCCAGTGCAAACCAGCTGATTATCAGGTCTGTTTTTAATACTTTTTGGATAAGTGAATATTTAGTGTATGTGACTTTTTAAATGTTCCTTGCTTAGTAAGTCAAATACTATGATTGTTTTTCCACTTTTTAGCAACTATTTTTTAAACTTTAAAAATGACTCCTTTTTTTTTTAACCCATTTTCCATAGTATTCTTCTTATTGCAAATGTATCCAGATAGTCAATAGATAGGTCAGATAACCTATCTAAAAATTTTCTTACAAATAAACACATCAGTTAACAAACCAGCACCTTCCTCAAGCACACCAACCCCTAGAATGCCCTTCCGTAGCGATGCCAACCCTTTCCTTAAAGTGAACTGGTCATGCTGTTCATGGACGTGAACCTGAGTACAGCTTCCTTTCTGGGTCTGCCATTGCCCTTCATGTTGTAGGTCTCTGCTTTATCTCTGGTTTTGTGAGCACTGTGCCTTTTCTGTTTCTGATTTATTTCTAATTTTACTCCTCTCCCAAGTAAACATGCGTGATAGAAAAATTATTTTAACTCTTTTATGATTAAAAAGCTTATGCTACCTTTCCATCTTATTGGCAGTTGGACTGGGTGATCCTTTTTCTTCCAGGTTCTGGAGGCTGTCTTTACTGTCTCCTAACTCCTAGTAGGCTAAGACCAGTGATATCATTCTGATTTTAATTCCTTTGTCTTTCTGCTTTATTTAATTATGTGTTTATTTACCCAGCTTGAAAGCTATTAGAATCTTTTTCTCCCTGGTGTTTGGAAGTTTCATGCTGGCGTATCTTCGTATTGGTCCTCTTTCATTCAGGGTATTGGGTATTTGATGAACTCCTTCTGAAGGTTTGTCTTCATTCTGGGAATTTATTTCTCTAATGCTTTCTTTCATTTTCCTTGTCCTTTCTGAATCTTCTCAGTTGAGTCTCTATTTGCTTTCTCTTCTTTTTTTATACCTTTGTCCTTTTTGTTCAATTTTTAAAAATTTTCTGCAGATCTTTCTTGTATCCTCTTCCTGTTTTATAGCATTTAGCTCTTCTTTCATGGACACAACATATATTTTTTTATCTAGGAGTGTTAATTTTGTGATGTGTTGTTCTCCTCCCTGCATTATCTCTGCCTTCTACAGCTTCCCTTTTCTCATTCATTTTGATTTCTGTCTTTTGTGTTTGAAGCATTTGTCAAATGTCTTATGATACCTGGTTATCTTTCACACGTACGTATGAAACTCTAAAAAGCTGATAACGAATACTTGGTTCTTGTGCTTTGGTGAGCCTCCCCCAAGGAGCTGAGCTGACTTCCTCAATTAAAGCAGATTCTTCAAATAAGAATTATTTATTTTGATTGTAGAGGAGGACCTGTGGCCGACGAGAGGATGGAAAGGGTGCACATATCAGAGGTTACAGCACAGGGTATGTGTGGGACCAGGGTGTGGTCACCACCTGGGTATGAAGGATGGGCACATTCCTTTAATCTCCTGCCTGGTCTCCATCCCCTTTCTCTGCCTGTCATCACCCAGGCTAGCCTTTGTGATTCCGTTTCAGCAGAGAGTAAGAAAAGCAGGACAGCTTTGTAATGAAGCTTGAAGTATCATGATGTCCCCAGCTTTGGTTTTCTTTTTCAATGTTCTCCTGGTGATTCGGGGTCTTTTCTGGTTCCATACAAATTTTAGGATTGCTTGTTCCAGCTCCGTGAAAAATGCCAATGGTA